CCCCAAAACCCCAAAACCCCACTATCAAATGTTTTTATCATCTTTAAGAAAACATTTTAAAAATATAAATATCTATCAAAATCATAAATGATAATAATTACATAATCTAAAAGTATTTAAATACCGCAACTCTTTATCATTTCTTGATTCTAAATCTAATAATATTTTTCTCCCTCAATTTTATTAGTTTAGGAAAATTCAAATCATTCTCTATGTTTTTAATAGTGGCTACATTTTAGTAATATGAATCACTCATTTAACCTGCTACTTTTTTAATTTTCTAATCATTAACTTGGTTTAAGATTGTTAAATTTTTGTTGTCATTCAAGTTTGAAAACCTTTTAGATTTCTCTGGGGATTAAGAAACTTTAATTTTGAGATCCTCAAGTTCCTTTTTTGTTAAGTTGTACAATGATTTTGCATCCTTAAACCTTGAGTAATTATCGTCTCCATTGCTATGGTCAACTGATTTGCTCATCTCATCTTAAGTTATCAAATCTTCTAGTTTTACTTTTTCGTATTCTAGATATTCTGGCTACTTTCGATTAAGCATTCCTATAGACTTCAGATTTTTCTGCTTCTGCTGATCTTATATATGCTAGCTAATCATAACCGAGGCTGTATTTTTAGAAATAGATTCATTAAGTCTCTAATTTAATCTCTAAAGTTTACTTCTAAATATTGAGCCTTATTTGAAGACTAGTTCTTCAGAATTCTTAGGTAAATTTTCTTATGATTGCATTGACCTAAAAAGTTTTTAGGCATCTTCCAGGGATTAGCTTTCATCATATGTTACCTGCATATAGCTATCCGCGATTTATCTAAGCTAAACTAATCTAGCATTACTTTCTTCGTCATCTAGAGAACTCTTTTACTTAAGTTCTTAATTTTTGTAGGGCTTAATAAATTTTTTCTTTAGAAGAGTATCTGTACCACTTTTATTCAAACTAATATAATTATTTTGTACAGTTGACTATTTCTAGACTATTTCGACACTCTTTTTGCTTTCAGTTTGGTAATACCTATCAAGAGCATTAAGTTTTTATCTTGATCTTATTTAGAAATCTCATGAATCTTCGTCAATTTTAAAGTCTTTTTTCAAGTTCTTAAATCTTCTAAAATTTGAATCATCAACAGATTAATTCAATTAAGAATGCAACACGCTTGAATCATTTCTTAGTAGTCAGTTACTTTATTTTTGATAGTCAATGGCGTTTTTAAGTTAGTGGGACTTCATATGTCTTAGTAATTAAAGTACTTTAATATTATCATTTATGCCTGCTTAATGCTTTCTTGATGTATTAACGAATTCAGACCAATCTAGTGATTCCATACTACTCTCCCTGTGTTTTCTTATTAATTTTTCTAAATATTACCTATCCTAGTCATCTTATATAATCATGTCTTATCTATTTCTAGAAATTTGAGGAAACCTTTTCTTATTACTTTGAACTTGAGAAGTTAAAGAGCTAATGTCAAATCATAATTCAAGCCTTGATATTTACTACTCTTTATAATCTTTATCGGCGTTTTTATAAACATCAAAGTTGGAAAATTAGTCATTTGAAATTGCATTTGAGAGATAATTTTCATTTTTATACATACTGAGGTTTGAAAACATCTAATTTGATTTAGGTGAGAATTTTCTCACATATGCTGGACTCTAATTTTTCATAGTCTACATATTCATTAAATCTATCTCATTTTACTTGCCAAAAGTGGCATTAAGTTTCGCTTACATTTTATCAAGATTTATTTTATTGATTATTTTATACTTATTATATTGATAGATGTCCCTTGGGGTTTTGGGGTTTTGGGGTTTTGGGGTTTTGGGGTTTTGGGGTTTTGGG